GGTTAGGCAAGGTGAAAGGATTTGAGCTGTAGTTAAAATTGTTAAATAAGTGATCTCATAAATTCAGTTTGTTTCTCTAAAAGATTTCTGGTGTCGGCTTCATGGTACTTTTTAAAAAAAAATTGAACTAATGCTTAGTATTTGGGAAATGTCCTCTTATAGTAAATAAAAAATTGGCCCTGTATTTCACACAGGTAGCCCTTGAAGATAAGAAGCACACACTCCTCTTCTGTTTGCTTCTTATTACTTGTCTCCCAATGCAGACTGTCAGTTGCCAGTTTTCTTTCAGCTCACATTGTTTTTCTTGTATCATTGATGTAGTTCTCTGTGCCTTTTTGAAAATTTGGAGATTGTGAGACTTGGAGACCCACGTTTTAAGAAAAGTAGGAAACATATCAGTGGAGATGAAGAGTTGTCTCACAAATAAAAACCAGTCAAAATTTACATAATTGCTTAGCCAGGTGAATTTTAAGTTGTGTTTATGAGTAAACAGAAGTATCTGTTCTCCTGTTAGGTTTAATTTTTATTTACATGAGTTTTAAATTGTGTGGTATTTTAGTAGTACATTCTAATGTGTTGATTCCACCTATAGAAACTGTATTCTGTTGCTTAAATGACATAATGAATCTTAAGTAGTTAGCATTGTGATTGACCCAGTGAATCTCAGTGCAAAGAAGCTATTCATTTTGTTACAATGTATTTGTGATATATAATGCTATATATAATGTTATGTTAATATGTGGTGTTACTTTATACTGTTCTTTTGTTGTGATGAATATTGTGATCTTTTGTTCTTTATGTTGTTAATTGGATAATGTTAGTATTATGTATGCTATCTTTATTTAATGCTAAGGTAGCTTGCTGTTCCTTTTAATGTTCTGAATTTGAATATAGGATTTTGCATATCTTTTATTTTAAATTTTGAAATATTTATAAAACTGTGATCCCTTTGTCAAGTAATTCTTTGTCAACTTTCTTCTCAGTTTTCTTTTTTTGAGGATGGCCATTCTGTTTAGGACATCTGCTACTTAATGTGATTTATATATTTTGAGAGTATCGACTTTATGGACTTCAAATATAATTAGTGGTAAAATATTATTTATTCTTTGAAAATAATCTTTTCTGTGGTAATCCTTGTTTTTTTAAAAACTAGTACCTCCCCACATTGGGTTAATATTTGCCATTTTAAATGATTGATTTGGGAGTTTATTTATGTATTAATTTTTTTATGGAAATCTTCATCCGTGCACAAAAGTAGAGATTTAAATTTTATGAATCACATTTTACCCACTCCTTAACTTGCAACAGTTAATCATCATTCTTCTTTTGGATTTATTGATTCTACTCTTTTTCTTTTTTTTTTTAATAGTTTTTCAGACTTTATTCTTTAAGTACCTAAAATTTGAATTTAATCTTTTTGTTGTTGTATTTGTGGTGCTGAGAATCTAATCTAGAGTTTAACCTAGAGTGCTAGGAAAGCACTCTAACCCTGAGCTACACCTTCAGTCCAAATTTTATTCATTTTAAAGGAGTGATAATACCCCTAACTCTGGCAAATTCTACGCTTTTATTGTCATTGTTTTCTAATCATTTGTGTTATTTTAAAAATATTTTTATCCCATTAAGTATTTTAGAAAATACTGCTGTATTATGAATTTCTATCTGATGCACAGTTTGTTCTCTGTTCAGTTTCTTATTGTAAGACTTGGTAGTCTTGTTTTGCAAACACAGCTTCTCATCACAATAGTTTATAACCTGTATCTATAAGGTTAAAAAATTATCTTTAGAAATTATAGTATTAAACTCTGTATCTACATTCAGATTTCTAAAATATAAAATAGATTAAAAATAAATTGTCAAGAGTTCCCATTGTTTCATAATCTATCATTTACTTAGTATTTTTCTTCTCTTAGTTTTTGAACTAGTTTTTGTATCTCTTTTTTTCTGGTTAGCAAATATAGATACTGAGTGGTGAATATCAAAACTAACTTCAGATTTATTGTACTTCTTAATTTTTAGAAATCTAAATGTTAGCCATAATTGCTTAGTTAAAAGATACTTGTCAGAGTTTTCAGAGCTTAATTGTGCATTTTGAGTTTTTATAAACTTACTAAAAACCTTTACCTGAATACATAACTCCCCTGCCTTTTATTTGGTATGCTTTAGCAACCATACAAGTATTTGCAGGTCAGATTTAGAATAAGTAAATGTTTCATTACATTTGCATAGTCAAGTTCAGTGAGTATAGCTATGGCTTGAATCTGTTATCTGTGTTCTATTGAATAATTCTAGTTAAGGGAAACTATTGATAAATTACATGTGAATTTATAAGGAGATATTAGAGTGATGATACAAGTGCTCTGTAATTCTCTTTGGAATATTGCCACTTGCATTATCATATACAGAATGTGCTAGCTAGCACTTTATGGTAGCTAGCTAACCATCACAAAGATAGCATCTGAGTAATATCTCTAGAAGTTTGCAGAGAGCAGTTTTGTACCTGATGATGCCATTAAGGGTCATCAGGACACATCTAAACATCCACTTCCCAAAAACTTCTCAGTGTCATCATATTAGTGACTATTAGGATTTGAGTCCAGCTCTTGTTACTGAAAACCCTGACGTTGCAATGACTATTACCAGAGCCCTGTTGAGAGTGGCTCTGTTGAAGTGGGTAGACATGTCCCAGAATCTGCAGGGAACACCTTAATTGCCGTGCATACTGGATATTTATTTCACCCTGACCAGCCTATTTCTTTCCTACATGCAATACTGATTTTTCATAAGAAGTAGAGAATTAGAAAAAGATTGTGGTGGACATAGAGGGAACTATTGAAACCAGTTATTGTCAGTATGTTAATCATAGTAATAACCTATTCACTGGGATGGAGATTCTTAAAATCTGATGGGCACGGTGCACTTGCAGAGTGCCAGGTTTGTGCATAGCCACCCTTTGCTGTGGCACTTCTTTCTGAGTTTTCCTGACTGGCCCACCTGTTTCTGGTGGTCACATCTCCTATTTTCTTTAGTCTTGAGCTTATCAGCATGTCTTCATAGCCTGGCTCATGAGCCATTTGTTTCTTTAAGGACATGGTACATATTGTGTGTGGAATTTGATAGCTTAACTCTCAGAGGCAAGATGACTTTGTTTTAGTCTCCCTTCTTGTGGTCCTATGATATAGGCAAATCTGTAAATGGCCATGTTAGTTTCATATATAACCCTTTTTTTTTCTTTTAAAGATTTCATTTTCAGCACATTAATAGTGATTTGCTGGCAAAATTTGACTCCTGAACTCAGAAAATATTTTTTACTTGAAATAATGCCAATTGGTAAGTTAAAAAAAATGCTTTGTAGAATTTCTCCCATGTTACTTTTAATTGACTGATTCCCACTCCCATCGCAACTTCTCTATATCATAACTTCTTATTACTCTAACTACTAATGTGGGTGTGATGTATAGGAGTTTTAAAATTGAATCTAATAGTCCAGATTCTAGAAGTGTATTTTCCTAGATGTATTTAATTTGGGGTCATTTACAGCATAAAGGAAAACAAGGCTATGGTGAAATGTCAACACACTAGTAGGCAGTTTATCAATGAAAGAATTGTTTGATGTTGACTTTGTTCAACTTCCTGTAGTGTTTCCTAGAGTTCTTCAGCTCAGGAAGCTGAGTGTTACAGAAATGCATCAACTCTAACCTTTCCACTGCCAGCCTTTCTTTCCTCAGTAGTCACTTATTAATGACTTTCTGTAAAGTCATCAGCTCTTTGCTTTCCAGGGTAAAGGGACATATCTCATGCCATCACTTACATGAAGAAGTACAGGACAGTGAACCATACTTTTTCTTCCAAATATCTTATCAACAAACTATCTTTTGTGTGTTTTCAAAGTAAAGGCAACCTCATTTAAACAAATATGAAGGTAACTTTTTTCCTGAAAGTGGGAATAATTGGTTGAATTTGACATACCAGTTTTCTAGGTCTTCTTAGGCATGGCATAGTGATCCTCATCATGGAATATGAAGTTGCCTTTTCCTTGCTGTGTTCTTTTAGTACTCTGGATTAGCTTCCTCCATACATCCCTGTGTTCTTGGTGTGCTTATTTATTTATTTAAAAAGCTGTGTTTTTTGGCTATCATTCTAACAAGGTATATTTGCAATTGTTAGTTATTCCTTTCCTGTTTCCATTCCCTACTTCTAGCTGCTTTATCTTAGCACATGAGGGCTCAAAGCAGACTTTTTGCCATTATAAATCAAGTTTCATAACATATGATGCACCTTCCAAGAGAATAGTGAGCTTAGGCTACTTCCTGCCTTTAGACAGGAAGCCACAGGGGTAGAATGGGCCTTGCTGAGACAGTCCATGTCTTGAGGGATTCTCAAGTCTGATGACTGCATACTTGTGGTTATTTGAACACCTTCGATCTATTTCCTGGGTTATTCTACAAATCTAGGGTGAGGCAGGATGATATTTTAATCCTAACATATCATGAAATATACCTATGGTGGATATATCCTTATAGTCCAGGTTGGCTGGAACTGCTTTGCCTGTAACACAAAAGGGTCAGGATAGATCAGAGAGGCAATAAATGTGGCCAGGCTAAGTCAAGGCCAAGTGGAGAATGTAAGCCCACCTAAAGTGATCAGCTGTTTGGCTTTTTTATCATGGTGAGAGAATGCAGGCCTGGTGATATTTTATATTTTTTGGCTTTTCAGAAGAAGCTGGAAATCTGAAGAAATTAATGATTTAAAATGTTAGTAATTAATTGAATTACAAGACCAAGCAAATCCCATCTGTAAGCCAAATCTACTCTATAGGTATTTCTACAATACTTTCAATGTCTGTTTTTCTGACATTCTTTTGTAGTTATTGGTATCCTGGTTGCTGTCTGAAGTAGTTCACAGAAGCCTGGGTGGTTGGGTCAAGAAACTGTTTGGTTCCTCTTAGGAAGGTATGAGAGATATGGGACTGAGCTCTGGGTATTGTTACTTCTGTGCAGAGGCAGACAGAGCTGAAGTTCGCCTAAGCTTTGCACCCAGCACGTGGACACATGCAGTAAAAGGATCCCAAAGATGCAAGCTATTTCCTGGAAGCAGAAAGGATCTCAGTTTGTTTGTTTTTCTCATGTGGGAAAGATGTGGTTGAGTAACCTACTGGTACAGGTATGTAGTTTTTTCCAGTTCCAGCCAGTTCCACTTATGTGCAATTAAGGAAAAAGAACACATTGAAGAAAGATGTGTTTATTCAGTGAATGCTGCTGAAGTGGCCGTGAATGAGCCAACATTAGACAAAACCACCTGTGCCTAAGGTGTGTTGTGTCAGTAACACACCTGTGGAAAAATTAAAATTAATTCCAAGTTTTTGCTAACTACAGAATCGGCATTCATTGAGAAAACTTAATATTCATCAAATAGCTTATTGGTTTTCTCTTATATTACTGTACTGACTCCCAAGTTTAGGTCTTTGAAAAGAAGCAGATAGAAGTAGTAGTCCTTTCTAGAAAAAAAGAAGATAGGAAAGTAAACATTTTAAGCTTTATAGATCATATGGTCTCTGTTGCATCTGTTCAGTCCTGCTCTCTTGGTGTGAAAGCATTTGTAAGACACATCACAGGAAAGGATGTGATAGAGTTCTGATAGAACTGTACGCTCAAAAATAAGTAGCGAGCCACATTTCATCTGCAATCTGTAGGTTACTGACTTCTGGTTTAGAACATTGATAATTTTGCTACATTAGAGTAGTAATCACCAAATTCTCACATATTCCTTCCTCCTCTTTAATGTAGTATACGTCCCAGTTCCACAGTCTTTCCGCTTGACCTTGGGACACTCTGGTCAAATTAATGTGAGCAAACATGTACAGAGATTTGAAGGGTTTATATGATCTAGTTTCTCTGTTTGCTGTTGCCATCTCCTATGACAAGAACATGTCCCAGATCTTCTTAGTCCAAGGAGGATGGCAGACAGGGCAGGCTTGTCTGCCATCCAACATAGTTTGAAGTCAAGCTTTGCTGCCAAGAGCCTGAAATGGAGTTATTTATCCAATCCCAGTCTAGAGCAGGTGAACATCAGGCCACTTACAGACCTGTGAGCTTGAGAATAAATGTAGGTTGCTTTTAAGTTTTGGGTAGTTTGTTAATGCAACATAATGGTAGCAATTGCTGACTGGTACAGAGGAAGATAGTTACCCTTTGCCATTCAACAAGTAGGATATCAATCTCTTTCAAAAACCAAAATAACAAAAGAGGTTTTTCATCTTCTCACCCAAATGTTTTTCTTTGTTTTGTATTTATCCACATTACTCTCCATGAGCTATACTTCACCGTAGTTGAAATAAATCGTGAATTGGGGTTTTAGCTTTCTGTGTATATTGCTAATCAATATATAACATCATCTTTAGAAAGGCTTAGCTTTCTTTACACCAACCCCAGGAAGGGTCTTACTACCAAGGATTGCATAGTTAATACTTCTGAAATGACATCTGGGCATTTCCTCAGAAATGAACAGTTGTGGTCTTCTCAGTTCAACAGAGGTTGAGGGGCCTGCTCTATGCCAGTCCCTGGGCTAGATGCTGTATAGAATTTCTTCAGTTGATAACTTGCTTTTTTCTGCTGTCTGCCATGTACTATGCTAATGCCTTGTTAGATGCAAGGCCTTCAAGTCATATGCCAACTAGTAGGAGAAGCAGCTAAGTACATGTATAATTAAGGCTCAGCTTGGTAAGCAATGCTTTAAGTGGCATGTTCACATTCACGGGGGATCGTGGAAGAGATTCCTGTCTGGGGACTGCAATGTAGGGAGCATCCATGAAGGAGCTGAGGTTAGAACTGCATTTTGTTGAAGGACATGGTGAGGATGCAATCTGATAATCATGGAGTAGAAGCAGGCTTTAGCAGTGATCCTTCCCTTTGCACATTAGAAGTCTCTCTCTCTTCAAAATCACCTCACTCCAGTATCTAGGATTTTAACAAGATGTACTTCTTTGACACAGAGGCACACCAAAAATTCATTATGTTACTATATTTGAAACAGTCCTGATTTACAGAAATTCCATTACACATGTTATGTACTTTTCACATTTCCTTGGTGTTACCTCAAGAACCTTCAGATGCTGCCTTTGCTGGACAGGAAGCTGTATTCCAACCTGTAGGGTTCCACAATAGGCTATCCGATCCCATACCAAGAGTTTTGGCATCTTCTCTCATGACCTGAATGAAATGGTGAACCGGGAATGTGTGATCTGGCTTTGGGAGCGTTCACCTTAGTCAGGCAGGCAAAGCAACCAGAAATGCAATAAGAGAGAACTTATTGTCAGGAGAAGTTTGTGTAATTGAGAGGAAGGAGCTGGGTACATTTATCACTCTCTGTCCTTACCCCAGACTGTTCTGAGACATGGTTTCTCCATTTAGTGTCTCTGGAGATGTAACACCTGTCTGGTAGACATACCTGCCATTGACTTGTGTCTCTTCAAGGCCCATCAAGAAGCCAGTGTACTGCTTTTTCTTCCCTGCTTCACTAATTTTTGTATTTATTTACCCACCTTTTCTTTTTCTTTCTCTTTTTTTTTTAAGGAGCTTGGGCTAAAGCATTCTGTGGGAAAACAGTTTAGAAGACATGTATCTATCAGTTAAATACATTGACATTTAGGAGGTGTTTTAACTCAAATCTATCACAATGAAGTGAGTCACAGAAAAAAGTAAGACTGTTATGTTAATATTATAAAGGATAATAATGCAGAAATTGAGTTACCTGTACAATACAGATTAACTGTTACTTCCTTAGTTATTTTTGACTAGTATTTCCTAAAGCTTCTATTTACAGTCTACTTTATGGACGTGAAGATTCTTAAATAATTTTTCTATTCCCACTTGCCCACAAGGGTCCACTAATCCCTCAAAGAAACCATCACAAAGGAGCCTTTGGTTCCCCTTCCCCTGGATAGTGGTGGAGCACTGTCAAATTCGTTTACCTGCTACTGTGAACTCTAAGAGGCCATGATATAGGGCTGTTCATTTCACCAGCAGTGTGGGAGGGAGACAGAACACAAAAGTGGCCAAATGTTGGTAAGTTTGATTAGTATGTTACTAGCTTGAGTCCCTCAGACTAAGTATCCTTCTTTTATTTTCTCTCTTCTGAGAGGAAATTTTACTAAAAACAATTTACTCTAGAAATCTGAACCATGTTTTTTCTTTACCTATAATATCTACATTGTCATTTGTTACATATAGACCAATTTGCTGGGTTAAGTATAGGTAAATAAAAACTGAAAAGAAAGGAAAGCTCTTTTTTTCTTTTATAATTTTCCTCTTTGCCAGAGAAAGATCAGTTTAGTGAGAGTCAAGCTATAAAAGTAATTTGTGCTTTGGATAACATTGTTATTAAAGCTGTTTTGAGTGTATCTGTAGCAGTTACTGCATATACATCTGAAAAGCAATGTAATGACTCTCATTTCCCAAGTCAGGTATATACCATTGTATAATGTTATTTTTTATTTGGAAATATTAAATCTCATATTTCTAGGGTTGATGTTTTCCTTTACTGTCCCTTTTTATTCATGAGGAGTGGGTTTGTGGAAGGAGAAAGGAGGACAGCTAAGAAAATGACCTACTTTAAAAATTATTTTTAAAACAGCCTTGAATTTGAAGTTTGAGTTTTTTGATGTTTTTGTACAGCTCAGTTTAAGAATTTGAAAAATTTAAACATAGTTGTTAATAGATTAGCAGGTTAAAACAATTTGGTAGGTTGCTTTTTCTTAATGTGCAATGTATTGTTGAGAAATATGTCTGTGTTCATCCAGATTTGGTTCTAGAGAACATGACTGTTACTTTGTGATAATGTAGTGATGTGTGGCACATTATACTTTATACTTATGTACCTATACACATACATGAAAGGCATATGTGTTTTTTTAATAGTCTGTATTTCCAAATTCTGCTCACCTTACTTTCTCTAAGTAAGAAAGGCAAAATGGACATAAGTATCATACAAAGTTGTGCCCACATTCATGGCCAAAGAAAAACACAGAGGCTTTCAATAGAGCCAGAAGAGGTACTGCAGGGAGGGAAACTGGAATATTTGATAAATAATCAAACTAGCCACTACTCTTTCTGTTCATGAACTTTATCTCATACTTGGGAAATCAGATCACTTAGATTACTGCTCTTTAATCTTATTATGGAAGCACTTCCTGGCCTTGGGGAACCTGCACCTGGATTTGGGGCTGTGAGTTCTATAATTAACCATTCCGGTAGCTGTGTAGTACTGGACGTTATGGAATATGAGCACTTTTCCCAGAAGCACAGAAACATGCTTGTTCATGAGGAGATAATGGGAGAAACACTAAGTTCAGTTTATTAAGTACAATCGGTAGAAAATAGTTACTCATGAGACGAGTTTTTATAGCTAGTCTGCTTATGTGCTCTGGGAATGTGTTTAGGAAATGGTTTCCTACCATATGACTAATGGCACAGGACTGAGAAAGTTTTCTCTCTGGCACAGCAAGAGAATTGGCTTGGCTTTTTCACCAAGAAGCTTTTTCCAGGGCTATTAGAAATGCTTTTAGTTGTGGTCAACAACCAGTCTTCACCCTTTTCCTCACATAAATTTTCATTCTTCTTTATTGATACTGTTTTCCAAAGCAGCTATTGTAGTATTGAGAACACTAAATGTTTCTTCAGATTTCACTTTCTCTTTGTCTTCATCAAGACACAAGTGTCTTTGGTCGAAACACAATTGCTCAATTAGACATAATCTCACAGAGGTGAGAGGTACTATGGATATATTATTAGGTGAGCTCAGATTTAACATGGTGTTTCTCTTATATTCTCTAAAGGTCACTTCTCTCTAGGGATGGTGAAGTTGAAAAAAACCTTGTTTAACCCTCCTCTGGGATGAACCACCTGCCAGAAGACATGGAGAATACTCTCACGGGGAGCCAGAGCTCCCATGCATCTCTGCGTGATGTCCATTCCATCAACCCAACACAACTCATGGCCAGGATCGAGTCCTATGAGGGAAGGGAAAAGAAAGGCATCTCTGATGTCAGGAGGACTTTCTGTTTGTTTGTCACCTTTGACCTCTTATTTGTAACATTACTGTGGATAATAGAGTTAAATGTAAGTTGACCTTTTTTTTTTTGACTTTATAAGAAATGTTTCCAGAGGCAAAAAATAATTTTTTAGATTTTTCTCATCATTTCATGAATTCCATGTTTATTGAAATAAGTCAGCGTTACCCTTTCTCCAGCTGATTCAGAATGTTCTTGTTCTTTATTGTTATTATTTGAAACAAATCTGATAAATTTAAAATTTATGTCTCTGTGCTTTTGAATTTGAATTCCTGGTGTTTTACTCAGTAATAATGATGCACGGATGACATGTGCTCAGGGTTCTTGAGCCAGCTCTGAGGATGAAAGCACAGGCGGACTCCAGCAACAGAGGTCGGAAGGATTTTATTTGTAGAGAAGAGAAGAGAAAGACTGCATATTGGAGAATGCAGGGGGACCCTGAAACCAGTGATCCCATGGGCCAGGGTAGGGAGTGGGGTTTTATAGCCTATTTTTGCATTACCTGACGGCAGGAGATGCCTCTCAGATGCAAACGGGTGTTTCCTAGGGAGAAGTGTCTCCTTGACCACTTATCACCTTTTGGGACCTCCTGCAGTCCGTCCTTCAGTCCTTCAATAAGTTTGACAAACTATAGGCTGTAAGACAAATTCAGCTGACCTGTCTTAATACAATTTTATTGAAACACAACCATGTCCATCTGTTTATGTATTGTCTGTGGCTGGCTTTTGTGTTGATTAGTTGGGTTGACTGGTTGAAATAGACCTTCTGTTCTAAAAAAGTAAAAAATTATTCCAGGGGCCCTTTATAAAATTTGCCAATCTATGCCCTAAAAAAATATAAAATGCTTCTAGAATATGTAGCTATCACATTGCTTTTCTAATTTCTTTGTTTGAGATTTTGCATATTTTTTTTGCAAAGAAAGTATGAATTCATATTTTATTGAACAAGTTTTCCTAGAGGCTTTTGGAAGATGATGCAGTTACAATGCCAAATGATTGTCTAATTGGTACTATCAGGTTGAAATACAATGAAAAAATTAAAATACGGAATTTTAAATTCTCTAGTTCTACATTAATAAAAATAAAATTCAGGTAAAATTCATTATAATAATATATTTTATTTACTCCAGTAACTTTGTTTCCTCTCTAAGTGTTGGGTCTGGCTCTTTGCATTCCTCACCAGCTGATAGCTCTTCCAGAAGGCGCCCCTCCCAGTAAACATGCCTCCTCCTTCATTGTCAGTAGCTCTTTTCATTCAGCCTTCCTTCCTCTTGCTCTAAGACTGGAACAGGCTCCTTTGCCTGTGAGGACCTCTATTCTATTAGTTTCCTCTACATGAAATGATTAACATCCTTTGTCCTTTTGTGGGTTCTGATGTCAGTTTAAATGTTAACAATATTCAGTTACACTTGTCTTCTGTTCTCTGTGTACCATTTCTTGTGTGAAACTCTTTCACCTTGCTAGAATGCACATTCATGAAGACAAAGATGTTGTTTTGTTTACTGCCGTATTTCCTGTAATTAGAACAATGCCTGGCACTCACTAGTTCCCAGCAGATATTTGGCCAGTGGACAGAGGTCATGGTGGCAGTGGTGAGTTGCTGGATTAAACTAGGGGCAGGTTGGCAGTAAGAATTCTTAACTGAGAAGCTGTTAAAAGAATTCCATGAGAGGTGGTGGGACTAGGAGGAAAGAGCTCACTTGAGAGGAAACAAAGGAAAAAGTAACAGGAGACTTACAGAAATGCTGATTTTATCTACTCTTAGCAACCTGAGGTATTTATTGATGGGATCTAGAAGAACAGAAGTGTTTCTTTGAAACACTTAAAATCAGATGTGCTTGAGATTTTGGCTTTTTTTTGTTTGTTTGAATTTTGAAATATTTGTATATATCTATATCTATCTATCTATCTATCTATCTATAGATAGATAGATAGATAGATAGATATGAGATCTTGGAGATGGGACCCAATTCTAAACACAAACACAAATTCTTTCATTCATATACACATTATACATATAGCCTGAAGGTGATTTTACACTATCTTTTTAGTGGGCCTGCAATTGAACTTTGACCCTTCACACAAGGACAGATGTGGAATTTTCCACTTATGGTGACATGTTGGTGCTTAAAAAGTCTGATTTTGGACCATTTCAGATTTGAGGTTTGTGAGTGAGGGATGCTCAGTTTGAGCCAGAAAGAACTTGATTGGGGAGGAATTTTTTTGAAATTATAGTCTCTATTTGAGACATCTTGAGCTAAACAAGGATTGTGAGATAGGGATTTCCAGTATTAGTTAGGGTTATAGATAAAATTCTAAATAGCACCACTTAAAAGCAGCACAAAGTCAGGGTCTTTAAAAGTACACAGATACCAGAGAAAAGCTTATTCTACTTGCATATCTGTGCTGGTAGTTTTGACTCCTGCTTGTTCAGGAATGGAAAGGAGGCATCTGTGGTAGAAGACCCTTATACCTTGGGTCACTTGAAATAATCATTCTTTTAGTATTGTGGGTACTGATAAGTTTCTGTAGTTTATTTTTTTTTCTTTTATTCATATGTGCATACAAGGCTTGGGTCATTTCACCCCCCTGCCCCCACCCCCTCCCTTACCACCCACTTCACCCCCTCCCTTACCACCCACTCCACCCCCTCCCTCTCCCCCCCACCCCCTCAATACCCAGCAGAAACTATTTTGCCCTTATTTCTAATTTTGTTGTAGAGAGAGTATAAGCAATAATAGGAAGGAACAAGGGTTTTTGCTGGTTGAGATAAGGACAGCTATACAGGGCATTGACTCACATTGATTTCCTGTGCATGTGTGTGTTACCTTCTAGGTTAATTCTTTTTGATCTAACCTTTTCTCTAGTTCCTGGTCCCCTTCTCCTATTGGCCTCAGTTGCTTTTAAGGTATCTGCTTTAGTTTCTCTGCATTAAGGGCAACAAATGCTAGCTAATTTTTTAGGTGTTTTACCTATCCTCACCCCTCCCTTGTGTGCTCTCGCTTTTATCATGTGCTCATAGTCCAATCCCATTGTTGTGTTTGCCCTTGATCTAATGTCCACATATGAGGGAGAACATACGATTTTTGGTCTTTTGGGCCAGGCTAACCTCACTCAGAATGATGTTCTCCAATTCCATCCATTTACCAGCGAATGATAACATTTCATTCTTCTTCATGGCTGCATAAAATTCCATTGTGTATAGATACCACATTTTCTTAATCCATTCATCAGTGGTGGGGCATCTTGGCTGCTTCCATAACTTGGCTATATATAGTGCCGCTGTAGTTTAGAGAGAGACACAGCAATGAGAACTAGGTAGTTGGTGTTTAACAATGATTTCTCCTTGCTGCCAGGTTTTCAGTTCTATTTATTTGTATAGATCTATAGCCAAGTAAGTCTACAGTCAATTTGTGTTAATTACCCAGAACCCTAAACCTCCTTCATGGATTTTAAAGCCCAGAGCAGTGTTTATGAATTGCTTTCAGTGGCATAACAAATGCAAATCCACATGCAGGATGCTGGTGGCTCATGCCTATAATCCTAGCTACTGGCGACACAGAGATCAGGAGGATCATGGTTCAAAGCCAGCTGGGGCTAATAGTTCACAAAACCCTTCACACACACAAAAAAGGGGGCTGGTGGAGTGGCTCAAGGTGAAGTGCCTGAGTTCAAGCCCCAGTACCACAAAAAAAAAAAAAAAAATCCATGAAGGAGTATCTAAGCTGAGACTACTCTCTCCTTGAGATAACATTCATTTTCATTTGACCAATTAGGGAATCTTGCAATATTCTTTATTATGTTTTACTGTCTTATTCAGTTGTTGGGACTTTGTTTTGCCCCTTTTCAGAGCATCTGTTTATGTCTCCAAGACTGTGTTTAAATCAGAAACTCATTGACTTCTGCATATCATGTTCCCTCTGACTGGGGATATCCATGGGCCCTATAGTTACAGAACACCTGCCTACTGCAGTGTCAGCAGTCTGACACAAGTACCTTACTTAACTTTTGGAAAAAGTGATGCTATATCCTTAATTTGTAGAATTTTGAACTTGATCATTTAGAAATTCTACCATCTTGGTGATAGAATTAGAAGACCAAAACTTTTTCCTATTGGGTTTGATTTTTATGAAAAATTTATCACATGATTGTATGTCTTGTCTATTCCTTTTTTTTTTTCAGCACTGGGGTTTTGAACTCAGGGCCTCATGCTTGCTAGGCAGGTGCTCTTACGACTTGAGTCACCCAGCCTTTTTTTGTGATGGGCTTTTCAAAACAGCGCTCACAAACTGTTTGCCTGGAGCTGGCTTTGATCCTCATCCTCCTGATCCCCACCTCCCTAGTAGCTAAGATCACAGGCATAAGTCACTGGCACCCAGCTGTTCCTGGTTCTTTAAACCAAGTTATATATTCAAATTGATAAGAGTGGAGAATTTTTAAATGGTAGGAGGAAATATCTTTATTTGCTCAACAACAACAAAGAAAGCAAAAACAAGAAGCCAGAGAATTCTTAGCTTCTCTGATATGTCATGGTAACTGCCCTCATGGATGTTTGCTGTGAGATCAATGATCCTGAGCCTTCAATACCTAAAATTGTAGAGACAGATAAAAAAATGAGGGAGACCCAGGATAAACTTGGATGGACATCTTTACACATTTGTATTTTGACAACTTTATCTTTGAAAGGAAAAATGATCTTTATGTGACATTTTAGCTGGCTAAATTTGAGCTATATTGGTTTTTATTATACATTTATATCTGTTGAATGAATGTACTCAATGGAGGAAGTGTGAGTTGCTATTCAGCCCTTCTCTATAAGATCCTTCTGATCTGTATTTGAACATTTCTGGGTTCTGAGGAGATAGCAGGAAAGTGTATAGGAAATCTCGTTTTATTTTCAAATATAAATCACTCCTGTTTCCTTCCTAGGTAAATGGAGGCATTGAGAACACATTAGAGAAGGAGGTGATGCAGTATGACTACTACTCTTCATATTTTGATATTTTTGTAAGTATTTTTTATTTTGGATCTCTTTTCAAATAGGAAACTAAACTCAAAAGACAAATTCTCTCCAGATAGGCATCAAATTTAATGCTGTTTGTTAAATGCTGACCATATTTCTTTTCCCTGAATTATCCACTTGTTCCATGCTCTCACTCTTTCACTAATAGCGGCTTGTCTGATCATCACAAGGAATGAAACGATGAATGCAGATAAGAAGGGCATCAGAAGGAAATATTCCATGTTTCTTCTATCATCTAGTTGAAATAGAACCCACTGACACATCCTAGTCACTGAAAGGAAAACTCATCTGTTTATATGATAGCATGGTGAGAGTGTCCATCCTTTCCCGTGCTGACTTTTTATAATAATGGGAAATTAATTTGAAACCTTACTTGGTGCTTTTACATTGGGATCTAGGTCTGGAAGTTCCACATATGGTAGTTTAGGAATCTGAACCCCTCTGGGGCAGTCTGCAGCTGAATCAGAAAGAAGACAGTCTGTTAAGTTCAGAAAGCTATGCTGTTGTTTTATTAACATGCATTTTAAATAACTTGTCTTTTCTTTCCAATTTTTTTTAGCTTTTGGCAGTTTTTCGATTTAAAGTGTTGATACTTGCATATGCTGTATGTAAACTGCGCCATTGGTGGGCCATAGCGGTGAGTATGCAGAGATGAGTCTTCTGCTCCAGGGCTGTTGGCCAGGGTGCTCACAACAGGCTGAGCTGGGCGGAGATGGAATTTCATGGGCTTTCTCCTTCCTCCCTTGCTTTGGTAGGTTTAACACTCCAGGGGTCTTTCCAATGTGGAGGGGTGGCTAGCTTAGTTTCTAAGATACTGCACCTTTGAAGAATCTTTGTGACACTTTAGCTGGCTAAATATGAGCTATATTGGTTTTTATTATACATTTATATCTGTTGAATGAATGTACTCAATGGAGGAAGTGTGAGTTGCTATTCAGCCCTTCTCTATAGGATCCTTCTGATCTGTATTTGAACATTTCTGGGTTCTGAGGAGATAGGTAGGAAAGTGTATAGGAAATCTCATTTTATTTTCAAATATAAATCACTCCTGTTATTATTGGCCAAGCATCTACCCACTGTCCACCTCATTTTGTAGAAAAGAGATGAGAGCAGTATGTCTGTCACAGAGATATGTAGAAATCCCTTGTTTGATTAAAACTGCTTAGTGATTTTTTTCATGATTTAAGTCTCTGCTTATTTTGATAATCACCTTCCCTCTGCTTTAGCCCTCCTTGTTCCCCAGTTGTAGGCAGAAAAGTTCCTGTGTTCCCTCCTGTTGTTGCTTTAGGTTCTTGAAGACAATAACATTTTCCTCATCTCTTTCCTTGCTTCTAGCACAGAGCTTGGACACATTCTACTCATCCTCAATAAATATTAAGAGATAGAAAGAATTATAGGCAATTTTGCCTGAATTATTTTTGCCATTTCCACAGATACCCTTGGCACTTACCAATTTTAATGACTTAATGAGCAGATGTAGGAGAGAGGGAGATGGTGAGCTCATCAGTTTAAGGAGAACTGCTCAGGAGCAAGGTATAGTCTCTGGCTTGCCATGGAGGGCTCTGGCCTGTCCAGGTGGAAATGAAAATGGGGGGCATGTTATCTCCTAAGACTTGAGTTCACCAGGTACTATAGCTTCCTAGGCCATCTTCAGCATCACAGGGTAGAAGTCAGACCCTCTGTTCTGTGGAATCTTTCATTTTAGGGATGAAGCTGACCATCTAAGCAGGCTTGACTTCCTTTCCTGAATACTCTTTTGCCAGTACATTTTAGTTGTAATGATTAAAACTTGTTGTTTTTCTATAACAGTCTGCATTTGGAACATTATATACCACAATCTCCACGATGTACACTAGCATTTGCCAAACTATATGTTGTGTCCGTTAGGGAAAAGAGGTTGACATGTGAGAGTTTTATGAAAGTACCTTCAATTTCTGCTCTCTATTTGCTTTAAGGATAGGTTTGAATGGTGCTGCATTAAATTGTTAAATTGTTGTAAGAATAAATTCGATTTAGTAAATCCATTTATTGTTTCTGATTCTTGTTTAAAACATTTACAGCTTGTACCTAAGAGCACTTAGTGTCAGCCTGTAAAGTATATTATTGTCAGGATATGAAGGTTTTCTTCCAGTAGCTCACTTTGGCTTGGGTGTGTGTTTATTTCTGAAGCTTTGTTAGTGCAAACTAAGCAAGACCCCGTTGTTCCCTGACCTTCATTCTGTCAGTCATGGCTACTGTTAGCATTCGTTTTGGTCAGGTTTTTACCATACCTAAAATACTAATTGGAAGTGGGAGTGACAAGGTGCAAGTATGGTGGGATTCTCTGTGTTTCACATAACTCTAGGGAGACCTTGCTATGCATTTCAGTGGACTTTTCTTCTGTGTGGTTGGATGTTTGTACCTTCTGGTAAGTAAAATATATTTTCCAATATGTTAGCCCTGCATTCCTGGGAGAAGGAATACTGTAAGTGGCCAGTCAGGGATTGTGTGCTATGAGAAGCCTATTTTGCTCCAGTCTGGGTATAGGAGATAGAGATAGAGTAATGTAGGAAGGAGCCAGGCTAGGTAAGGGTGTCTCAGGTACCACCTGCTCCTGGATTTGATGAGTCTCATGTGAAGGAGGGGCCTTCTCTGTGTGAAGTGTCCCATTTGAGTGATGCTGTGTTATGTGTCTTGCAGTTGACAACAGCAGTGACCAGTGCCTTTTTATTAGCAAAAGTGATCCTCTCAAAGGTACGGCCACCTCCTTTCCTATACCATTGTTTTCTGCAATGATAAAGCCCCCTTTTCCAGTGTGAGCACATGGTCAATACTTTTTCCTTTTATTTCCATGTCTCTTCTTCCAGCTTTTCTCTCAAGGGGCATTTGGCTATGTGCTACCCATCATTTCATTCATTCTCGCCTGGATTGAAACGTGGTTCCTGGATTTCAAAGTGTTACCTCAAGAAGCAGAAGAGGAAAACAGTGAGTCCTAGTTAGAGTCCTCCTCCTGATCCTGACTGCCCCAAGCTGCAGGAGAGTGATGTGGCATCTTGATATGAACCAAGCTGCAGGGGGTGGAGTGATGCATCCTGTTCTTCAGTGGCTATATCAGAATCGAGGGAAGGGTTGGAGGGGTGAGAGGATAGAAACAGGAGTCAACCTACTGACTTCTGGGTCAGGCTTTTCCTGGAAGAAAGTATGAACACTGGTCAAAAAAGACGAAAATGGCCACTGCCTAACTCTCCTCAGATAGGTTCATTTTTTCTTACTATTTATAATCATCATAGATAATATGTTTTTGTGCAAATAAATGGAACTGTGCTGTTTAAGGACAGAGAGAACTGAACCAATCTTAAATGAGCAGAGGCAGCAAATTTACATATAAGTAAGTGGCTTTGCAAAGTGTCATATTGCTGTGCATACAGCAGGTGATGACGATGACCTAGGATGGGCTGTAAATGGAGCAGTTAGGTATCCAAAGCTGGGGCTGCAATGGTTAAGATGGAGTTCAGAGGAAGGAAGACTAGCCAGAGCCCTGCTTAGCCCTCTCAGCCTACCCCGTCCTCCTTTGAGTGCTCAGTGATGCTTAGTGGGACCCCAGTGTCCTCCCACCCCTCTTGGAGGTTAAATGATGACGCCTCAATGCAGAACCCATGCCATTTCCAGACCTGCCTTTGTGCTCTTTTTCATGATCTGCCTCATAGGGAAATAATCTTACACCTTATGGAAAGTTAAGTTTGATTATAACTTCAGAAACAGAACTGAAAGTAACTTTGCATATGTAGCTTTATTTTAGAAAATTTTATTAACTGAAAAGCAGTTTATAAGAAAAGAATTGTCAAGAGTAAATTTAAATAACATATTTATCAGTAGTGCAAGGTGTGTCTTCTGTACTGTGCCCTGTATTCTGGTGGAGAAGGGGCATGTGCTGTGATAATGCATGGAAGGCTTCTTTTATTATAAATGTCAGACTGAACTTTATTGAAAACTTACCAAGTATTAACATGACTAAACCAATTGCGTAGTAACTAAACAATAGGCTGAACAATTCATGAAGATGTTGAAACAGCATTTGTTTTCATTGTCAGTAGCAGATATGGCAACGTGTCTGGTATCTATCTGGCCAGGTGCTTCCTCGCACTATTTCTTAGTGGTGACTCTGCCGTCAGTAATGACCTCAATTATTGATGGTTTTCCTCATCTTGTCAGTGTTCTTAAACTTCCTTCTCTTCTCTTCACTGTTTGATATTCTTCATTTCTTTGGAAACCCCCTATTTTTAAGTAAAATATTTCTTCATCACCTTCGTTACTCTATATATTTATTAAAGACTATTGAGGTGTTACAGTTGACATCTGGTGTTTCTCTACCAACTACAGATGACTATTTGTATAGGCTGACCAGGTTTTGATTTTACTTTACGATTTGGTTTTGAGATTATATGGAGGTTTGTGTAAAGGTTGGAATTCCCAAGGGAGAGATGCTTTAAATGCTGAGTTTGATATCGCAGGAGTAACATGAGGTTAGTTTATAAAACTATTTGGTTTTCTGTCTTCACAGGATTGGTTCATGGTTTATTAATGAAACCTTTATACTTTGGTTGAAAGATTTTCAGAGTACCTCTTTTTTTCTAAGATTTTTTAGATGTAATAACAGTACCATTTTACAATACTTAATCTTACAAAAGACTAATCAGGAAGATAAGGTTATTTGCAGCATCTGCATTTTTTCTCTTCCAGGACTCCTGATAGTTCAGGATGCATCAGAGAGAGCAGCCCTCATCCCTGCAGGATTTTCTGATGGTCAGTTTTATTCCCCTCCTGAATCTGAAGCAGGTAAAAATTTGATTGCCATTTGTGTTTTTGCCAGTCAAAAGCTCTGCCCTCTCTATTTCTCTTTACATTGTGCACATTTAGCACACCAGGATGCGAAATTAAGTAAGACTGGTGGGGAAACACAGATCTCTAAAAAGTGAAAGTAGTGGAGAAGCACAGACACTGTGGTTTGTGATCTACATCTCAGAAGATAGGCGGGCAAAGAACAGGTCCTAATGTTCCCTTCATTATCCTTTACTCCTAAGCCAGCCTTCCTCTAAGATTGCCTATGGCTCAGAATGGCAGCTCTACCCTCCCAAGTGTCCAACTCAGAAACAGTGCCTGTCTGTGAACTTTGCCCCTTTCTCTGGCTGACATCTTATTACTCACAGAACTGTGTTGACACTCCTTCCTTATTTTTTCCTGCCACCATCATCTTATTCCAGTCTTGCTACTTCCTGTTAGCTCTGACCCCAGGTCAGAATTCATCGCTTCAGATTCTGTCATAGCCTTTCTCCCAGCCACCAGTTTTGCCTTCCACTAATCAGTCCCAGAGAGCTCTGTTAAAATAGCAATGGCACTAAATGCCAAAAGCCTGACTTAAAAATGAGCAAAGGTCTAGAATAAATATTTCTTCAAAGAAGATATCCAAGTGGCCAAGAAAGTCATGAAAAGACATATAGTATCACTAATGACTAGGAATATGCAAATCAAACCAAGTGAGATACAACTTTATCCCCATCAGTATGACTGTGATTTAAAAAAAATGAAAACCCAAAACAGTAAAGAAGTATTGGTGAGGATATATTGAAGTTTGTGAACCGTTGTGCATTGACGTTCAGAATGTAAAATGGTATAGTTCCTAAAGAATACAAGATGGTGTTTTCTTAAAAAAGTAAACATAGAATTACAATATAACTTAATACCGTGGGTGTATATACAAAACAGATAAAAACAGGAACTCAAAAATATTTGTACTGCAGCATTAATGACAATGGCCAAGGGGTGAAACAACTTAAATGGCCATCAGCAGATACATGGATAAACATAGGTGATATATGCATGTAATGGAATGTCATTCAGTCCTAAAAAGGAATGAGATTCTGACACATGGTTAAACATGTATGAGCCTTGAATAGATTATGCCAAATAAAGTATGCCAGAAACAAAAGGACAAGGCTTATGTGATATCATTTTGATGTGGTACTAGAGTAGTTAGATTCATAGACACAAAGTAGAATGGTGGTTATGAGGAATGGAGGAAGTTGTAGAAGTGCATCATTGGTGACTATTGCATTGTAAGGATGTACCTAAAGCACTGAATGGTCCACTTAAATGGTTAAAATGCTAAACTATGTGTTAAATGTATTCTGCCACAGTAAAAACTGCTTTCAAAGTTGCTAAGACTTTACAGGTACCAGTAGCTGTTCTCAGGGCTTTACTGACACTCATTTGCTCCCCATAGCCACTCTGTGGTGTTAAACACTTACTATCCCCATTGCAGACATGAGCAAATTTAGGTCAGAGAATGGAAGCAGTTACCCAGCATCACACAAATAATTGTGGTGGAGCTGGGATTAGAACCCTGGCTCCAGTGTGAATGTCCATGCTTATAACTGCTGAAGCATATGCCTGTCCATATCTTTGAAAGTGCAAAACTGATCATGTCAGCCCTGAGCTCCAGAAGCCTTTGTGGTGTAAAGGACTAAGAAATAAGTAGGCCATTATCTTGGCAAAAAGCACTTCTGTGACCACTCTTCCCAGTTGTCTAGCCTGTCACCTTACTACTGCCTTCTTGTGCTCTTTCAGCTTTTCTGAACATGGTGTGCTTCAAAGCCCTTAAGCCATTGTGCATCTTTGCGTTTCTGTTCTGAACTTTATGTCTCCAATCAAATGTTCCAAAGAGGCCTATCCACCCTTCCCTACCCTCACCATCCTTCTGGCAATCTTGGTTAGGATGTCCCTTGCATGGTCCTTGGGAGCTCTTCCACAGCCCTTTCACTGTGCTGTCTTGAGCAGTGACCTGATCTGTTTCTACCATTGGACTGTCAACTTGAGTTAGAGATAACATTCTTGTATTACCATCATTAGACATAGTCAATATTTTAAACACACACTATAATAAAAAAGAGATTCCAGGCAAAGGGATTGATGTGAATGATAGAAGGTACTTGTTTTGTAGACTATTGGTGTGGGGTGTAGAAGCAGTGTAAAATGCAGATGCCCCATGAAATACATATATAGATTAGCAGAAAATCTATTTCTAAGGCAGTAGAAGTTAGAATTAAGTGTTAAACTGGTCATTACTTCATTAGAAGGATTTCATTCAGATGTTTTATGTCAGAGGACTCAGTCTTTTGTTATTAAAAAAAATGTGTAACATATTTCCTATTTTGATACTTTTACTAAGACAAATCTATTTTTTAGCTAATTCTTTTCCTATGACAAATACAATTTCTCAACACTAATGTATTATTTTAATTAGAAACTCAGATCAGAGACTAATAACATGAGAAATTCTACCTGAAGCCTTCCTTCCCCATCAAGCTTTTCTCTTTTGGGCATTTTGACTTATGCTTGTGGTGTGTACCACCACCTAGTGGTCGTCTGGGGAATTACCATTTCTTTGAGTTACAAGTTATAGACAAAGAACAACAAAAACATTTTCATTGTTCTGCTGGATGACTGCTTTGTTTAAGACAAAATGAAGATCAGTTAGTGTTGGGCAGAGAAGCAGTGCTCAAAGTTCTTGTTTGTCATATTCTATTCTATTTACATTGTCTGCATGATCAATTTTGAAAGGAATTATAATTGAAAATTATTAATGAAGTTCATGTGCCAAACAAAAGAAGACTATCCTCTAGAGCAAAAACTTTTCATTACACTTGTAGCTGAAAAGGAAAGAGACTTCAGTAGCTGAAGCTGTCTGTTGCCCTGGCCCAGCCCTGCCTGCCTTACTCAACATGAGGGCATGTGGAAGGTGTGGTTTGCCTTTCCTGCTTTTTTCACCCAGCACCTAAGATAGTACTTGGTAATAATAAATTTATGTATATTCACCTCCAAAAAGGAAGCCTTTGATAAGATCCAACACCATTTCATGATAAAAGCTCTAAGAAAACTAGGAATAGGAAGGAAAGTACCTCACATTATATGACAAACCTACAGCCAGCATTATACTTAACGAGAAAAAACTGAAACCATTCCCTCTAAAATCAGGAACCAGACAAGGATGCCACTATCTCCACTCCTATTCAACATAGTACTGGAATTCCTAGCCAGAGCAATTAGGCAAGAAGAAGGAATAAAAGGAATACAAATAGGTAAAAGAAACTGTCAAATATCCCTATTTGCAGAGACATGATCCTATACCTTAAAGACCCAAAAAACTCTACTCAGAAAGCTTCTTAGACATCATCAATAGCTAAGCAAGGTAGCAGGATATAAAATCAACATAGAAAAATCATTAGCATTTCTATACACTAACAATGAGCAAACTGAAAAAGAATGTATGAAAACAATTTCCATTTACAATAGCCTCAAAAAATCAAATACCTAGGTGTAAACCTAACAAAAGATGTGAAAACCTCTACAAGGAAAACTATACACTTCTGAAGAAAGAGATTGAGGAAGACTATAGAAAGTGGAGAGATCATGGATTGTAGAATCAACATAGTAAAAAATGTTATACTCCCAAAAGAATCTACATGTTTAATGCAATTCCCATCAAAAATTCCAATGACATGACCTCTACAAAGAGAAAACTATACCACTTCTGAAGAAAGAGGATTTGAGGAAGAATTATTAAGAAAGTGGAGATCATGGAATGGTAGAGTCACATAGTAAAAATATCTTATACTCCCAAAAGTAATCTTTACACGTTTATGCAATTCCCATCCCAAAATCCAATGAACATTCATTAAAGAGATCGAAAAATGCTACCGTGAAATTTATATGGAAACACAAGAGGGCCAGGAATAGCCACGGGCAATACTCAGTCAAAAAGAACAATGCTGGAGGTATCATGGATACCTGACTTCAAACTATATTACAAACCAATAAACAATAAAAACAGCATGGTACTGGCACAAAACAGAACATGAAGACCAGTGAAACAGAATAGAGGACCCAGATATGAAGCCACGCAACTTAAACCAAACTTGTTCTTTGACAAAGGATGCTAAAAATTACGATGGAGAAATAGCCAGCCTCTTCAACAAAAACTGCTGGGGAAAAACTGGTTAGCAGTCTGCAAAAAACTGAAACTAGATCCATGATATCACCCTATACCAAGATTAACTCAAAATGGATCAAGGATCTTAATATCAGACCACAAACTCTTAAAGTTGATACAGGAAAGAGTAGGAAATACTCTGGATTAGTAGGTATTAGGTAAGAACTTTCTCAATGAAACCCAGCAGCACAGCAACTAAGAGATAGCATAGATAAAGGACTCATAAACTAAAAGCTTCTGTTCATCAAAAGAATGTCTCTAAACTGAAGAGAACACCCACAGAGTGGGAGAAATATTTGCCAACTATACATCAGACAAAGGACTGATAACCAGAATATATAGGGAACTTAAAAAACTAAATTCTCCCAAAACTAATGAACCAATAAAGAAATGGGCAAGTGAACTAAACAGAACTTTCTCAAAAGAAGAAATTCAAATGGCCAAAAAACACATGAAAAAATGTTCACCATCCCTAGCAATAAAGGAAATGCAAATTAAAACCACACTAAGATTCCACCTCACCCCTGTTAGATAGCCATCATCAGCAACACCACACAACAGGTGTTGGCGAGGATGCGGGAAAAAGGAACCCTCTTACACTGTTGGTGGAATGTAACTAGTACAACCACTCTGGAAAAAAATTTGGAGGCTACTTAAAAAGCTAAACATTGATCTACCATTTGATCCAGCAATACCACTCTTGGGGATATACCCAAAAGACTGTGACACAGGTTACTCCAGAGGCACCTGCACACCCATGTTTATTGCGGCACTATTCACAATAGCCAAG